TATTTTTGTTTGTTTTGTGTCTCTGACCTAAAAATGTAAAATATATTTTCTTTCTGAAGTTATTTTTGTTTTTAATCTATAACATTGTAATAAATTATTCCTAAATCGGGGGTTAAATAAAAGTTTTTTTGTTGTCGCTGTTGTTGTTCTCATTGCTATTACGCAAAAAGGATTTAGTAATGATTTAGTAAGGGTTTAGAAATGAAAAGAAAAACTGCTTTTCTGGTTAATTTAAATTTGTTTATTTGATAACAGCATATTTAAATACAGGTTAACACTTATTATAAATGACTGCTTTACATTGTGTAGTACAAATGTTGCTGTAATCCAGTGTATAAGTAACGGAGGCGGTGTACATTCATTTTTCCAGCTTCCGATTGATTCTGTCGCAAAGCTCATACAGCTTTTTACGCTTCGTTTTTCAAAAAAAAAAATCTAACCTCTATTTGTTTCTCCCTCTTAGCGCATTGCCTTCCCGATGCGATTTACTTTCAATTCCATAGGGTAAGGTTTGTTGATGCCACGACACTAGATCAATGTGCACTGTTTCTTGGCAGAAAACGCGATCATGCTAGTCTACAACACAGACACATCAACCAGACAGAGTTCTGAACGCTGATGCACAGCTTGGTCCCTTATGCCCCGGCGTTTACACTCTGAAAACACATTAAATGTTTTCCGTTCACACCACGCCGGAGAAATTTAAAAACGCAACAATCGCTGGTCATGGGATTTGTGTTTGAGGAAAGCTCGGGCAAAGAAATCACATGATTATCGTGACGTCATCGTTTTCGAAAATCTCCGTTTCCAAATTGCTTTCCGTACACCATTTGAACTCACTAAAAGGCAAAGGAGGCGTTTTCAAGTTTCTTCGCTTTGAAGAACATTCTCGAAAAGCACCATTTTGGTGACGGATACTTTTGGACGGTAGCCATAACCGTAGAAATAAAGCTGCCTTTTCAAATTTTCCTGGCGTAATGTGGACAGGGCCTTAGCACCTAACAGTTGTTGTTCGTTTCCACAACA